GCCCTATCTTGTGTCAGTTGGAACAATGAGTACTTCTAAGTGCTATAAGTGTTGTCAGTTGGGACAAATAGAGTAACTAGTGAGTTCTGAATAGATCAATTATTATTAAAGAAAATGTTCATTATTAATAAGTACAAGAGGAGAGATTTTGGTAAGATTAATAATTAGTCAATTGGTGTTAGTTGACAAAATATCAATTAGGATATTTTGTATCATTATATTATATATATATATATATATATATATATATATATGTGTGTGTGTGTGTGTGTGGTTAAGAAAGAAGGTAAGAGAATAAGAGAAGAGGAAAGGGAAAGAGGAAGAAGAAGCTCATGGAAGGAGAAGAGGAAGGTTCATGAATTCATCATCATCATCAACCCCATCTCAATTTCTTCACCACATGCATCTTCAAGGTGAGTTCCATAGATAGTTTAGCTTGGGGAAAATGTATGAAAGGGTTTGGGGAATTAAGTTGCGTGATAATAAGATGATCTTGTTATAACCTGTCAAATTGGATTGTTGGATGCTATATGTTGTTAGGTGTTGAGAAAATTGAATATTTTGGGCATGTTTCCCTTCCTTATCACGCCTGTATTTTTCTAGAAATCATCGCTCTCGTCGAGCTAGCTTTGGCAAACGGAAGGCGAGTTAGATTGCTGGCTGCTCGCTGAAAGATTGTGGTGCAATTTCGCCTCTGCCTGGGGTTCACCGGGAAAACCAAAGGCGATCCATCCTCGTTGGCTACTCGTTGGGCGACCATGACAGCATGCCGAATTTTGTTTCTTATTTTTCCTATAACTTGAGAACCGTAACTCGGAATAAGACACAATCAAAAGGTTAGAAAGCTATTACAATGCTCTATTTGATAGTGAAGAAGAACATGGTTATGTGTCGTTGATTGATAGGATAGAGATGGAAATGTAGTGAATATGAATATTATAGTTCTCGTTTCCACCATAAGTCATGAATCGAGAATCAAATTGACATGAGACATGAAGCATTGGAAAGATAATCCAACGATTGTTGGTAGATAATAGTGATTACTTTATGCCTTAAGTGAATTATTTATGTGGATCATGTTTGGCTTGTTTATGTTACTATATGTATTGCATGCATGGTATTGTGTTATGTTATTATGCATGATGTATTTTGGACGAATGGACATTGGAGTTTGCTTATCCACTATGTGTTTGCTTCTCTCCCTATGGTATTTATCTTAATTCCAAATATAAAACCATCCTACTAGAGTTTCCTTAAATCCATATTATTTGCTCTGTCTCTCAACACAAACCTCCTTTAACCCACACCACTAAAACTTCTGTTACTGTATAATGCTTGTTCTGTCTTTGACACAATCTATTATAGGGGAACTCACTGAGATTATTATCTCACCCCAATATTGTTGTTATTTTTTCAAGTATTTTTTTGTAGGTTTAGCATGCAATAGGAGTTATGTATTGATGTTTCAAGGGAAACTTATATTGTGATCTTCAGCTGTCTATATTGTACAATGACGAATATTATACTTAGATCTTAGATTCTTGTTTTCGACACTTTCCATATCTTGTACCATACGTTGTCTATTTTGTTTTGTAAAATGGTCAAGTATGTAAAGGATGACAATAGGCACTTATGATTGTGTCAGTACCAAATAATAACGCTTGTATGATATTATTCTAGATATATATTTTACGGGTCAATACACTCTATAAGAAGCCGGAAAACAAAATCTATGCATTCAAGCGTGTTCGGAAGCTAAATTGAATTTTAATCTTTGAAATCGCAACGCAATAAAAAATTCAAGCAACTCGATAAATTATACATCATTTACAAAGGTAAAATAAAACCAAATTTTAAAGTAATGAATTTTGCTCTATGTTAAGCTAACTTAAAACGGATACATGTAGGAATCACTCTATAAAAATTTGGGCGACAAAATATATGCATGCAAGCGATTTTGAAAGCTAAATTGAATTTTAAGTTTTGAAATCGTAACACAATAAAAAATTCCAGCAACTCAATAAATTATACGTCATTTACAAAGATAAAATAAAACTAAAATTTAAAGTAATGAATTTAGCTATATGTTAAGCTAACTTAAAGTGGATTCATGTAGGAATCATCCTATAAGAAGGCAAACAACAAAATCTATGTGTCCAAGTGTGTTCGAAAGCAAAACCAAAATTATGCTCTGAATTCACAACGCACTAGGACCAATGGAATAATTAATCAAAGAAACTATTTAACCATTAACAATTATTACTCAATTAAACTAATTAATTAATGAATTAAAATCATTGATTATAATTAATCAAATAAATAAAATATAGAGCACAAGGGTGTAAACATGGTATTTGGGCGCTAAAAGAAAATATGGGCATAAGCCCAATCCAAAACCATTTAACCATAATTAAAACATATAATAGTAACATAAGAAAATAACAAAAGAAAAAAAAGAAAAAAAAGAAAAATGGAGAGAGAGAGAGAGAGAGAGAAAGAGAGAGAGAGAGAGAGAGAGAGAGAGAGAGAGAGAGAGAGAGTTTATTTATTTATTTTTAATTTTTGGATCCTCCACCCATGATCCGAGACGTGGTAGGGGGAGTATTAAGTCAACAAAAAAGCAACATTTCTCTTATTGTTTATCGTTTCAGTCTCAATAACAACAAGAAGACTATAAAATTATAAAAACTCTTTCCTTTCTCAAAATGAACAAACACAACAACCAAAATTCAATCAAAATAAAAGTTCGCCATGTATCACACACACACACACACACACACACACACACACACACACTCTCTCTCTCTCTCTCTCTCTCTCTCTCTCTCTCTCTTTCACACACACACACACACATACACACTTACTCTCAATCGAAATTAAAATTTGGTGGTGATGGATGTGTAGTTGTTGCTGGACAAAACAAAGGGAGTAACAAGAGGTTGGTGGTGGTCGATTTGTTGAGTTTTTAAGGGATGAAAGGTGATGTGTTATGTTGTTGTTGATAATGTTGTTATGTTGGTGAAGGAGGATGTTTAAATGGTGTTGTATGTTATTGTGTTGGTGAGGAAGATGAAGATGTTAATGATGGTGTTCGGTTTTTATTTGATGAAGAGTGAAAAGAGATGATGATAATGATGTTGTGTTCATGATTGTGATGGTGTTGTTGTTATTGATAGTGTTATTTGGAAGGAAGGTCGGTGGAGTTGTGGTTTGAGGAAGAAAAATGTTGTGGTACAAGAAAAACGTGGAGTTTGGTTGTTTAATGGTGGTTAGGCTTTAAGTGTGGTAAGGTTAAAGAGGTGATGCAGTAAGGAAGGTCGTCAGGTTATTGGTGATTGATCTTACCGGTTGATTAGAACCTGAGGTGGGTCAAAGACAATCGTTTGTGATTCTGGGTGTGAAAGAGGAAGAGGGGTGTACCTGCAAGGCACTATGATGTTAAAGTAAAAATCAGGCAAGAGAGAGAGCAATTACAAATATGAGTATATCAGGGTGAATATTAGATACATGAGCCTCTCAAGTGAGAGGATTTATATAATGCCCCAAGCACTTGACCATTGGTCCCTATTTTTGAGGCGAGATAACATTTTTCCGAAGAATACGTAACTGGCAAAACTAGCCGTTGTAACAGGCAGACGTGCCCATAACTAGTTGTTTCTACGTGCAGGGGCGTAATTACGGGCACAAACGTCTTTCTTGTTTCTGGATGGTGGAACTGTGCGTGACGGGCAGAGACTGACAAGGAGAAGTGTTGTGACTAATGGTAAATTGATCAGCCTCCCTTGTTGGGGGGAGGGGCAGAAAGGTAAATTCCCCCCAATTGTAAGGTGTTTCCCAAAATGTCTCTGTTCACATCCTTCATAATAGTATTCATATATTTTAATTGAGAAACTAAATTTTCATCGTATATCCATTTTCTAGCATCCAAGGACCAAAGTTATCATGCAAGCCAATCTGTTTAAAATTTAAAAGTCCGATTGGGAGGATTAGTAGGATTCTCTTGGAACATAACAATAATAGGATGATGGTCGAATTTGATACCATGTAGAACTCTAGCAAACCTTTCTAAAAAATTGAGTCTCCGATCAACATTGTAGATGACATGATCGAGCTTTTTGAAGTACACATTTCATTCCCTCCCACCAGGGTCATGTCCTTGTGAACATGGAGCCCATAATAATCACATCTATCACATGACAAAAAAATTAATCATAATAGATCAAATTTAGTCCTGAAAGACATATCCATACGATCATTTTCTCCACCAGTTATTTGGTAAAGCATATTTTAATGTTTAATGAAATTTCATTCAATTGTGATTTTATATCATCCAAGCCTTATTTAAGACGATTCTTTCGTTATATGCACCTTGCTCAAATTTAACTATGTAATCTGTTATCATTGTCTATGATCTCTAATTCTCATTTCAATTTCTAAATTATGGGATCTCGCTCCTTTATAACATTATATCAATATTTTTCTCAATAATTTAACTTCGACTCAAAGAGTGTGCAAGTCTTTAAAAACAACTACCTACAATCTCCAAATAAACCTTAAGCAAAAGTATGTTTTTTCTTCTTCATCGAGAAAATAAATCCGACTTCCATAACTCACGATGCGGTTTTCTTCTTCGGCCATGTAAATTATTTATAACTACTATTTGCACCCTAACATGTTTTATATCATCACCAGAGGCATCAACCTTTCACTTTGATTTTTTTTTTGTAGTCAATGTAAAATGGGCTATCAGCCCATTTACTTACAAAAAAGAAACGGATTCTCGCGCGCGTTCAATCTTAAACGCAAAAAAAAGGAAAATGTAAAGGCGCTGTTATTGGCGCTTAAACCAAAAACCCCAAAATCAGTTTTTCCCTCCTTTCATTTCATTTCACTTCATATATATTCCAACATTTCACCGTTCACTTCAGTTCGTACAACATTCAGAACAAACCAATTGATCGAAAGATTAGGGTTTAATCAGTCCCAAAAACCATACGAAAATGACGAAGGGCACGAAAAGGGTTGACGCTGTTGATTCCGCTTCCGTTCTCGTTCGTGCCAAAGATGGTAGCGCGTTTGCCAAATGGTTTGTTATTTCCTTTCATTTCCATTAGGTTTCATTTCTATGCAGAATGGGTGTTACTGAGATACTAATTTGTATAATTTTTGTTGAAATTTTCAGTGATGAGTGTAAGAAGAATGTTCCTGTTGCACTTATTAGCATGCATGATTGTAGCCTTGAAGCCAAAATCAAAATGAATCTTGGTAATTGTTGTTATTCAGAACTCTGTTAGTAGTTAATTTGAAATTAAAGTCATAAACAGTGGTTAATTTTGCTTTTGTGTGTTTGTTTAGATTCTCATGTTGTTGAGCAGGCTGCTGCTGAAGCGAAGAAACCTGAGAGGTGAATGATTTAACCTAATTTGTTTTTGTGATAGTTTGAATTATGTTGAATTGGTTTCTAATTAGGGTTTATTTTTTATTGTTTTTTTTTTTTTGGAATTTTATAGGAAGAAGCCTAGTACGAAAGAACCAGTTGCAAAGAGGGCTAAAGGTGGCAAAGATAAGAAAGAGAAGAAGGTTAAAGATCCCAACATGCCCAAACGTCCTGCTACTGCTTTCTTTGTCTTCATGTAAGGGTTTGTTAATGTTTATGCTGTTAGTGGTGTTTTGGTTATATTGTTTAGGACTTTTGTTGATTGTTTTAATTTGATACAGGGATGATTTTAGAAAGACTTTTAAGGAAGCTAACCCTGATTCAAAGGATGTTAAAAGGGTAATGAAAACTTGTTTGCTTGAATTGTGTGTATGTAGTGTTTGGTTAAGGATTGATAATTGATCATACTGTTTTTTTTTTTTTTTGGATATATTAGGTTGCTAAGGAAGGGGGTGAGAAGTGGAAGTCTTTGACTGATGAAGTAAGTTAGTTTAAAATGTTTAGGCTTTTTGTTAGTGCTGCTATGTTTTAGATGTTTGTTATGTGATGTTGATCAAATGATTTTTGTTGATGATTTAGGAAAAGAAGCCTTATTTGGATAGAGTTGCTGAACTCAAGGCAGAATATGAGAAGGCTATGGAAGCCTATAATGCTGGTGAAAAAGAAGTATGTTTCCTTTGAGTTTTTCCGTTTGTTTTATATTATGCTCTTGTTTGTTTAGTATTTTTTTAAGCTGTTGATATTTGTGCAGGATCAAGAAGGATCTGATAAGTCTGATAAGGAAGCCCCTGCTGCAGGAGAGGTGGAAGAGCTAACTGATGAAGAGTAGTGTAGATTTGTGTTCATCATACCTGAATACTATGTTGAAATGGCCATTTGACCTAGGCTAAAATTGTATATCTTGGAATGTTTTTGAATTTAAAGTTAGATGTTGTTGATTGGGTTAGAAGTTTCAGTGCAACGTCTTATGTACTGTTATCTTGGAATATTACCAATGTTATGCTACTTACTTTATTTCTACAACTGGTGTGTTGCCTTTTTATTTTTCTTCCTCATATCATGCATTCTGATTCCAAATGTTTTCAAATGATTATTCAAAAGGGGTTGTGGACTATAGCACTGGGGTAAACCAAGGCCCACACATGTTTGAGTGGTTGGTTAGCTGCATCATTTTAGTATGCCCACACAATATACAAAACATGAATAATAACATAAGATGTACTTCTATCTTTTGCTTCAAATCTGAAGTATGATGTAAAAATGAATACATGGTTTATTGAAAACAATATTGAATTGGAAATTGAACTCAACAATAAGCATTGTGATGCTCAACGTGGAAATGAAATATTTAAATAAAGTTGGAGCCTAGTCTATCTCGTGTAATAATGGTCATAAGGAATGAAAATATCTATGATTATTTAGTCAGCATCTTGCTGGCCTATTGTCCCTTAAACCTATCCCTTGCACGGCTGCAAGGGTTTACCACATAAGCACAAATTGTGGGCATAAGCAGCTGGGGGAAAGATGTTGAAAGGTCTAGTCTGTGGAATTTCTCCACAGAGCCTGTTTGCCCTGAAACTTGCATGCCTGAGATTGGTTATCTGTGAAAAGCTACCTGGTATTTGTCCTGTTATTCCATTTTTAGATACATCAAGCCACTGTAGATTCTCCAACTGACCTAGACTTGAAGGGATGTTTCCCATTATGTGATTTCTTGAAATGTCCAATCTTTCAAGTTCTACCAAATTTGAAATAGAAACTGGGATTGAACCTGAGAGATTGTTGCTTCCCAAGTTTAACACCTTCAAACTTGACCCTTCTACAAATTCTGGAATGTGACCAGAAATGAAATTGTTTGAGACATCAATTACCTCCAAAGAGCTGCTAGTCATGTTATTTATGAATGATGACAGCGAACCTATCAAAAGATTTGCATGCAAATCTATGGAAGACAACCCGGATGGCAATTTTATCTTAGAAATGTCAAAGCTCAACTGGTTGTTTGCGAGCTTGACATCTTGCAAACTGGACATATTTGTGAAGAAATTTGAGATACCACCAACAAGAAAGTTGTCTGACAGGTCTATAGAGCTCAAAGTGCCGGGTCTGACAAAATGCGGAAGATCACCCTTCAATTTACACCCGGCTAGGTGTACGTCTCTAAGTTCCTTGCTTCTGATCCAATCAGGAACACTTTCAAGGCTGAGATTATTATAAGACAGGTCTACGGACAAAAGGGAAGGAGTACCGTTGATAGGAATTGCCGGTAAGGGATCCGAGAGTCCATTTCTTGATACATTAAGGTACCAAAGTTTCTGCAATTTCGCTATGGATAGTGGAAAATGTCCTGTTAGCTGATTGCCACTAAGTTGAAGACTTGTCAGTGATTTCAGGTTTCCTACTTGATCTGGGATGTTTCCCGTGAGCTTGTTATAGCTCATAGACAAGTCTACAAGATTCACAAGACTGAACAACGAAATTGGAATTTTTCCTGTTAGTAGGTTATAAGACAAGTCTAGATTAGTCATGTTTCGAAACTCCCCAACAAAATCAGGGATAGGCCCTGATATCAAATTGTAACTGAGGTCAAGATAATTCAAATTTCTAAGGTTTTTGAAACCGAGCGGAATAGAACCGGACAGAAAATTTCTTGCTAAATTAACTTGAACAAGGTTTTTCAGATTCCCTATAGTTGGAGGGACCTGTCCTTTCAAATGGTTACCACTCAATGAAAGGGTTTCAAGCAAAGGCAAAAAACCTAAGCTTGGAGGAATGCACCCTCCAAGTGAATTATCCTCAAGAACAAGATGTTTAAGGTTAGTTAAATTCGAGAAGCTCGAAGGAATTGGTCCTGTAATATGCTTCATTCCACTTATCATTATTACCTCTAAGAACTGCAAATTACCAAGTGCTGGAGAAAGAGTCCCCATCATAAAACTCCCACTATCTCTAACATCAGGACTTTGTATCTGCAACATATTAACTCTACCAGTGGAAGCATCACATTGAACTCCTTCCCACCCTCCGTCGCAGCAGTCGCGGCTTATCCACGAAGATAGAGTATCTGTTGTGTCCTTCAAAATGCCTGCTTTAAAGGTGAGAAGAGAAGCTCTATCTTGTTCTGAACAAATTGGAGGTTTTGGTGAATAAGCACTTTCTGAGAAGAAGTTGCTGAGTAATGAAAATATCAGAACAAGGTTTAAAACCCATGTGAAAAATTGCATTTTGAGAAGTGGGTCTTGATCAAAATAAGTTTTTATCTTCTCTGAAGTTGGGATCTGACAAGAGAAACTTTGAGTTAGTAAAAGAAGAGAAAAAAAGTGAAGAATTAATTTAGTAAGAAAAAGTGTAGAAAAAGTACCAATCCGACATTGATTTATTCTAAGGTAAGATATGATGATGATGAAGTGTGTTGTGTCTGAAAATTATGATTCTGTTGGAAATTTTCTGCATGCAAGATAGTGATTTGTGCAGTCTCATATTTATAGTCAGAAAGGAAAGGAAAAAAAACACAAAGGTTGTAAGAAATTGGATTAGTTTAAAGATATTCACATGGTAAAATTGTGACCGTTTGATGAATCACGAGGATCCTTGGTAATTCGAACGTTGGAGCGCACTGGATTCAAAATCTGTCAATGTTTTATAAAATTTAGCTTCTGTCTGTTACTTATACTGTCCACATGTTCCTTGTTTAGGAGTAAGAGAATGAATAGTACTCCTATCATTTTTTTTCTTCCTTGTAGAATCTTTATATAAGTGTCTCTTTAGTTAAGAGGTGGCGACAAAAATTGATTTTATAAAATTGATTATATATATATATATATATATATATATATATATATATATATATATATATATATATATATATATATATATATATATATATATATATATATATATATATATATATATATATATATATATATATATATATATATATATATATATATATATATATATATATATATATATATATATATATATATATATATATATATATATATATATATTTATTTATTTTCGAGTCTATACCGCAGTATGTATGCAGTCTCTTATTAATAAATAAAAAATCCGAGTTTTGATCAATTTAATTTTTATTTATTTATATTAATTTTTAATTTTAATTTTTAATATTTTTATTAAAATGTTATTTTTTTAATTTTTGAATATTTAAATGTTAATTTTTTATATCAAAAATCCATTATAAAACTATTTTGACTACTAAAAAGAAAATAAATGTCAAAATTTTCAATTATTTGACATTTGATAATTTTTATAAAATGATTAAAATGTTATTTTAATTAATAAAATATATTAATATTTTTACTACCTAGTTAACTTCATTTTACTATATTCTAGAATACTTGGATTTATGTTTTTTTGTTTTTTTGTTTGTGTGTGTGTAGTTTATATTAATATAGTTGTTTTCCTTTCAAGAAATTATCAATTTTTGTATGATAAAAGTAAAGAAAAGTGTTTGAGAAATACCTTCAAAGACAAGAAGAGAAAAATAAGCAAAAGGTAAAAACCAAGTCAAGTGGAATGCCCCATTGTAAACCCATGTTTGGTAGGTTTCCACTCTTACTTTCTATGGTTATTGTAAATAGTACATTTAAGAATGGAAAAAAAAGTTGCTTGACAATTATAGAAGGGTTAAATAATTTTTCAATTTATTTTCTATTTTTATAGACATGTATAAAAAAAATTAAAATGTTCCCCCTTTATATAAATATTTACAAGAATAAATAAAGTGATACTTTTATAACTACTAATAAAATGGAAAATATTTATTTATCAATAAAGAGTGAAGTCATTTTCAACAGTAAATAAATAACAAAAACAATAATCACTGTTTGTTTTTATTAAAGCATGATGAATATCTACTTTACCTTCTCAGTAAGTATGCTTAACTTGCTAATTACTTTTTTTAATGTGATGCTAATTACTTCCTTTACAGCAGTACAATTTTTGTTTGCTTATCATTTAAGAATAATTAAAAATGGGGTCCCCTTTATTCTTACTTGGTTCTAGAACAATGCTTCTACATTGTTCATTTAATCTTGATTAACATTCTTCTCCAAAATTTCTAAAATATGTAAACAATTACATGTTTTATACATTACCAGTGAAAGTCATACAAAAATAAAATAAGAGTGCAGAGAATCCAAACAAAATCATTAGACCTTAGACTGATTATATGTTAAATTTAATAAATAACTATACATAACAAGTCTTATAAAAATAATAATATTAGCAATTGTAGTTTATTTGAATAGTTTGGTTAAATATTGAAATAATTATTTTATTTGTATTTAATTTTAAAATTAAATTATTATTTTTTAAGTTGTTTAGTGATACTTCACAAATTTTATTTTGCTTAATAAGATTGTTTTTGTACTTTTCTATATTTTGTTGTATATTTATTTATTTATTTATTTTTATATAAGATGATAGAAGCATATTATATTAAACTTTGTTGCTCTAAAGTTTTTATCGAGAAAATGACTAAGATTAATATGGATATCATCCAACATTACAACAGAGAAATCAATTAGACAAACTTAAAGATCTAAGACATCACTAGAAGAATTTGTTTCGATGAATATGAATAATTTAATAAAGGTCGATAAGAGAGAACCTCGTTAAGGAAATGGTCTTAAAAAAACCTATGTAACTTACAATTATTAGGGTGAACCATGATCCATTGTCAAACATCGTTGAGATTAAGATTCTCCTTTGAATAATAGAAAGGTGCCATTCCCTGATAGGAACTCCAAAGATGAATGCATACTCTTCTAACGTTGGAGCCAACTGACAATCCGGAAAAGT